TTTCCTAAACCGCAGGCCTTCCTGACTTGCAGCAGGGCCAGGACAGATTACAGTTATGTGGTAGGTTCTGTCAGACAAGCTTTGACAAGGCCTCAAAATAGACCCTGGGCATCAGCCAGAGAAACTGCCACTCATAAGTTCCAACTTCAACATCAGACATTAGCCCCTCAGTATTTTTTTCTCTCTAGCCTCTCTGATTTTAAAAGGGCAAAAGTTCCTGAGTCATGAGTGAGCTGTATAATACAGAAATTGAACTTTTAAACGCTTAATTTGCTCACATACAATTTACAGAATACAAACTGAATCTGTACCTATCCCCTGCCTTGGGAAATTAATCCATCAGTAACACTCTGGTTTGCAAAAGGATTTTTGAATCTCAAACTCTACAGAGGTTTATTTTATTATGAATAGACTAAGGATGTGAAAGGTAAAGGAAGACAGAAGGTGGACTGTTTTCTATGCATAATAATATAGTAGCAGATTTCAGCAGGGCAAGAAGTTAAACCATATACAATATTTTTAATTGATATGGTCATAAAATCCCAAAACAACCAACTGACTACAAAATGTATTCATTTAACTATTACCAAATATAAATGGTTTGCCTATAACACCAGTCTTCAAGCTACAGTATTTTTTACCTTTACCAGTACAAACAAAATTAACCACCTATCACTCTGAAATATTTAAGACTGCCTTATAAAATACAAGTTAATATTTTTTAAAATGGAAAGGATAAAGAGCTCCTTTCTCCTACAAGGTTGAGAAAGAAGATAACTTCTATTATAAAGTCCAATATAAGACTGAAACAAATTTATGAATCTCCTCAACTTAAGCCCCAACTTTGCAATCACTCTTTCAGAAATATATACCATATACATACTTACGGACTAGTGCAAAGACATATACTAGTTGTTCACTATAGCAACATTTGTAGAAAGCTAGAAACAACCTAAATGTCTGCTAATATGGAATGGTATAATAAATCATGGACAATAAATAAATTATGGTTTGTCTACACTATGCAGGACATCCGGTCTTTTTAAAAAACCACAGGGACACATGTGCTAATACAAAAAAATCCCCAAGATGTGTCAAAGGTAAGAATGAAAGAAGAAAGTTCTCCTAAACATAGGTGATTACATATGTAATAGAAAATTTGGATTAGAATATAGAGGAAAGGGATCCCTGGGTGGCACAGTGGTTTGGTGCCTGCCTTTGGCCCAGGGCGCGATCCTGAAAACCCGGGATCGAATCCCACGTCGGGCTCCCGGTGCGTGGAGCCTGCTTCTCCCGCTGCCTGTGTCTTTGCCTCTCTCTCTCTCTCTCTCTCTCTCTCTCTCTCTCTGTGTGTGTGACTATCCTAAATAAATAAAAATTAAAAAAAAAAAAAGAATATAGAGGAAACCATTCACAGTGGTTGCTTGGATTGGAGGACACAGGAATGAGAAAAGGCTAGAAGTTTGTTTTGTAAAGGAGGCTTCCTTTGCACCATACAACATTCTATTTTTAAATGTTTTATCTATTTTTAAAAGTCCCACAAATCAGGGACACCTGGGTGGCTCAGCAGTTGGGCGCCTGCCTTAGGTTCAGGTCTGATCCCAAGATATGGGATTGAGTCCCACATCTGGCTCCCTGCGAGGAGCCTGCTTCTCCCTCTGCCTGTGTCTCTGCCTCTCTCTCTCAGTCTGTCTCTCTCATGAATAAATAAATAAACCTTTAAAAAAAAAAAAGTCCCACAAATCTACTGTACCCATGAAGTGGGCATTCTCTTCCTATGTATGCATGCCATGTTTTCCCTTTCTTCAATCATTTTTACTCTTATCTACTGTTCTCCCTACTATTAGACCAAAACAAAAGCATACATATTTAGCAAATCTCAGACTTCCCCCAAGAAACAGAATAAAGAAATAATAAAATATATATATATAACTTATAGTAAACCCAGTTTTTAGTCCATTGTTTGATTCCTTTTAAGTGTGGCCTAATTTCTTGTAGGGCAAAAAGTTTTAAAAGTGCAACGTGCAACACACACACACAAAAAAAAAATCAGTCCAAAGATCTATCTAGGATCTAGATCTATCTAGGATCTTAAAAGGAAAAATGAAGGAAAAAGTGAGTTATTTTACTCACAGGGCAAATTCTGCTCAATCCCTGCCTTCTGATTTTAAAAGTAGAGTTTTGAATAATGGTCATAAAGTCTATTGTTTGCAAATCGGATAAGGCAGTACATTTTCCTGGTTAAAGGTCCATCTCTCCATTTAGAGTCAGTCTCCAGAAAGGAAGTAACTACCTAAAAGGAAAAGGCTATGAAACGGCCTCTGTTTTGTAGGTGCAATGGATAGTGTCCCAATGGTAAAGACAGAGGAATTGTATTTCCTCTTAAATCATCCTCATCAACATTCCTAGCACACTGCTGGGAGAATTTTTTTTTTCCTACACATCATCGATTCTGTTCCTTTTCACACCAAGAGCAGAGTGAAACAATTCACAAAGAGCTTAGCAAGACACAACTCTCATTTCTAGTAAAGATATGTTTTTGGTTTTGTTTTGAGAGAAAAAGAATCTACTTGCCAAATATACCCTCCTATCACTTTGTTCCTTCATTATGGAGATGCTTAAATCATGACATAAGAAGGTTTCTTTTGCATGTCTACCTATCAAAACTGTTAGTTATGGTGGTTTCCACAAGGGATTTTCCAAAAGGGAATCTCGGTTTACTGGGAACTGACTTAATTAAGTCACTATTAGCTGGACAAAAATCAAAAGCGACATTAGGGAACGCTGTATATAAGAATGGATATCCAAGAAAATAAGATGCCAAAATTCAGTCAAGTAATTAAAGGAATCTGGTAAGTAAGACCAACTTACCATTACTTTATAGCCAATAACTAAAGTTTCCTACAAATGAAAATCAAGGTAATATAAGCTGAATTCCCAAAAGAAGAAAAAGAAAGCTAAAAATATCAAGTGTTCTGTGATTCAAGGTTATTTTGCTTAACAACATTTTTAAAGCCAAAAATCATCAAATTACATTTCAGCAATAAAAAGTTCATTCCAATAATAAATCACAGCTTCAATACACTCTCTTCTATAACAGAAGTCACATGAGAACTCAGGTAGTCTCATTCCACATTTTTAAGGATTCACAAAATAGGTGAATCAAAAGACTCAAAAGATTATTTTATATACTGTAGATTATTTCAGTAAACTTTTTTTTTTTTTTGGTTAGTAAACTTTTTCATATCTTCTCACTGACATTTATTTTGTTTCTAGATCCCTTCATTTATCTTCCCTCATCTGGCAAAAAAAAAAAAATGTGGGGGGCGGGGCAGGGGATATAATTACAACAGTCTACTTAGCAACTATTCTAAAGCCAAATATTCTTCAAAAGTTCAATTTTTATTTCCTTACCATACTTCATGACAATAAATATCCCAGGAATAAACTTAACAAGGCAAAACACACTTCATGAAATGACTGAAGGGATCTAGTTAAACAGGCAGGAACAAACTTCTAGCTTTCCTCCATTCCAATTTTAAGATCCGTATCGATGAGTCACAGAGTGAGTGACCTAACTTTCTAAATGAATCACACTTTCTGAAATTCTTACTCTAACATACTACTAAGTCACCGTCTCTGTATTTGTTAAACAGAGCATGATGCTGGTTAAACAGGGTTAATTCTGCACGACTTCCAAACCACAGCGAACCTCAAGCGTCTGCCAACTATCTCTTATCTGCAACACTGCATTCTCCAACAACTGCTCCTTCATCTATAAATTCGCCCCCAAACGTCATCTTGAGAAAAATGTCGTTTTCAGTATGAGGTCGCCCACCTGTACCTGCTCACCATCCCTCTGATGCCATTTACTGCATCCACGTGTAATAGCATAAGGAATCAATGGCTACTCAAGGCATTCTTGCCTATCACCTTTTAGTCAATTAACCTACTCTGTAGATTTTCTGATTTCTGCAGAAATGCTGAGTCATTAAAGGGAAACGCAGAGAAAATGCGCTGCCAACAGTTAGTTAGAATGTCGGAGGCAGCATCTCCTTAGCTGTGTCTCAGCAGCCCGGTATCTATCTCCCACGGTCGCAAAGCAGAGCAAACACTCGAACTTTTTTCCCTCTAAGGAAAAGAGGTGCGCCGCGTTAGGTCCGCCTGCTTCCTGCGGTACATCCACAGGCGAGAGCAGCAGGCCCGACTGGAGCCGCCTAAGGTAACAGTCTGGGTGTGAAAAACGCCCCCGGTTAGTCAAGCATCAACCCCGACGCCCGCTCCGACCAAGCGCCGGTGGTGCCCGCGCCTGCTTCGGGGCAAGGAGGAAGGGAAGAAATCCCATAAAAATATTGCGCCCTCCGCCGGCCCGGCTCCGTCGGCTGGGGGAGGCGCGGGCGAGCGCCGAGCACCCGAGGCACAGGGGCAGCGGCCGACGCAATCTCTCCCACAATGGGAGCAACCCCTTCCCCTCGCCCAGACCGCGGGCGCGTCAGGAACTAGGCGTGCGGCCGGCGAACGACCCCGGAGCCCGCGGGGAAGCCCGGCCCCCAACCCGGTCGGCGGCGGCGCGGCTCGCACGGCGGCGGAGGCCCGGCCGGGGGTCCCGGCGGCGGGGGCGGCGGGGGCGGCGGGGGCGGCGGGGGCGGCGGCCCTTACCTGCCCCTGGGCGCGGGCTGCGGCTGCCGCTGCCGCTGCCGCTGCCGCTGCGGCGCCGCCCGGGGAGGGGCCGGGCGCGGGGCGGCCGCCGGGAGCCGGCGGGGCGGAGAGCGACGGGCGGACGGCGGACTGGGTCCCAGGCTCCCGGGCTGGCGCCGCGGCTCCCGGCGCCCGCGTCCGGTCGGTCGGTCACGCCGGCGGCCCCCGCGGCGCGGCGGCTGAGACGGAGACAGCGGGAACCTGCCCCCGGGAGGAGCCGCAGCCCGAGCGGCTGGCGGAGGAGGGGCGGGGCCACGGGGTCGGTGACCCGCTCACCCGGAAGCAGTTGGCGGCCGCGGCGACGCGCGCTGCGGGGCCGGCCGGGCCCCCGCCTGGCTCGGGACTCCCGGCTCTCCGGCTCTCCGGCTCTCCGGCTCTCCGGCTCTCCGGCTCTTCGGCTCCCCGGCTCCCCGGCTCCCCGGCCCTCCCGCTCTCCGGCTGCCGGCTACGCGCCGCCCCGGGAGCCGCCACCGCCGGAGGGAGGGCCGAGGCCCGAGCAGCCTCGAGGTGGCTCCCCGGAGCCCGCGGAGGACCGCGAGCCGGGAAGGTGAATGCAGGCGGGCCCCGGCTCGAGGCTGCACCTGCCCGGGTCTCCCCTAAACTGTCCGGCCCAGTAGGCCTGGGTAAGCGGGCCGGGCGGCGGTTCCGACTGTGGGGAACGGGTGAGCGAGAGCGAGGGGGTGTCGCGGCAACGCTCGAAGCCTTATTTCCAGAATGAAAACGCCTGATTTCGAAATGGTTCCCGGAAGGGACTGCGGCGGGGCGAGGGGGTGGGGGAGGGAGAAGAATGGCGGGACGTAGAGGCCGTTAAACATCTGCTGGGCCCGGACGATCCCGAAGTGCCTCTCGGGACGCAGGTTCCAGGCGCTGGGGAAAGGCCAGGGCCCACCCAGCTCCTTGGGACGCTTACCTTCTGGTAGGGTGGAGGGGGTTACGCAGACGGACAAGGTGATGACAGCCTGGTGAGGCTGTGCAGGAAATACAGAAGAAGGATGAGAGATGGTGTGGGCGAGACCCCTTTTTCTGGATAGGACGGCTGGAGGACCAACCTCCAGAGGGAAGTGATCGCCGAGCAGCTTCCTGGGGAAAAAGCACCAAGTGCATTTAGACACAGCCTTGCAGACAGGGACCGCAGGCTCCAGAACCTGCTGAATGAGCCCGCGGATTCCACATTAAGAACCCGCCTCTACAGCCTTCCAAGGGCTCTCTCTGTGCTGTCCCCTCTCACACTATCACAAGGCTTGCTCACCTCTTGGAGTTGGTGGGGCCTGGGAATATGGCACTCTTCGGGAAGGTTCCAGGCCTGAGTTAGGGAACGTTGGTCTCCAGACAGACATAAACAGGTGCTTCATCACAGGGAGAATTACACCATCAGCCTTGAAAGACGAATTCTTTAACTGTTTACCATTTCTTTTTCCGTGTCACTTTTTCTCAGACTCGTGAGTAGACATTAAAACTACGATTTTTTTTTTTTTTTTTAAACCTGGGATCAAGAAAAGTATGGAGCGCCTGGGTGGTGTAGAAGGTTAAGCATCTGTCTCTGTTCAAGTCATGATCCAGGGGTCCCCGGGATCCAGCCTGGCTTCAGGCTCCCTGCTCAGCGGGGGTCCACTTCCCCCTCACGCTCTGCGCCTCCACCCGACTTGTGCTGTCTCTAGCACACTCTCTCTCTCAAATAGATAAAATCTTAAAAAAAAAAAAAAGGAGCTTAATCTTTCCAAAAGATTGTACTGTTATGATCTGAATAAAAGAATTAATGGCCTATTTTGCTAAATCAGTTAAAGTCAAAATAAAAAGCCGACTTGCAAAAGAGAGGACGTATTCAGGTATTAATGCATTATCTGAATAATACTAATAAATCCAATAATGTGTATTAAATATTAGCTTATATAACTGCATAATTATTTTATTTAACAAAAGAACAATTGTTTGGATAATAGTAGGATTAGATTCTCTTGCCCTTTTTATTTAACCCTTAGCCATTTGTTTTGACACAGCAAACTATTAGAGAAAGAAACATTTTGTTGTGTCTTCTGGGAAAGCTGGGAAGGAACTCGCCTTTATTGCTACCTATTCTTTGCACAGCATTGTGCTAGGCACCTAAATAATTATCCCTTTCAGTACTAGGACCAACCTTGAGATTTGTGGATTATTTTTTTTTAAGATTTTATTTGTTTGAGAGAGAGAGAGGAGCACGAGATGGGGGAAGGGTCAGACAGAGAAGCAGACTCCCCACTGAGTAGGGAACCAGAAGTAGGCTCAATCAAATCCCAGCACTCCCAGATCATGACCTGAGCTGAAGGCAGACACTTAATCACCTAAGCTACTCAGGTGCCCAGAGATATGGGGACCATCATACCCATTTTAGTAACAAAGACCTTGAGATTAGGAGATTATGACTAGCCTACGATAAAACTAGTAGCTGGAAGAGTTAGAATTTGAACTCAGGTCTTTCTAGCCCTAATTCCCCTTTAACTTTGCACCATATTGCTAAAACTCTAATTTTTTAAAAAAGATTTATTTATTAGAGTCACAGAGAGAGAGAGAAAGAGGCAGAGACACAGGCAGAGGGAGAAGCTGGCTCCATGCAGGGAGCCTGATATGGGAGTCGATCCTGGGACTCCAGGATCAAACCCTGGGCCGAAGGCGGCTCTAAACCACCAAGCCACCGGGGCTGCCCGCTAAACTCTAATTTAAGAAGGAAATATAAGTGAAGTGTCCAGTGTCTATGTTGCTTTAATAAGCTTTAAGGTATAATGATATGAGACAGTTTTGGAGCTTCTCTGTTTTTGCTTCTTCCTCTATAGGATATTTGCCATCTATTTGGCACCAAAAAAAACTACTCCACTTGTTTTAAGAGTTGATAATGCCTTTTGTCTTTTGAATGCTCCCAAGAATATGATAAAATCGTGACACTAACAGTTTGTCATGGCAAAGGGGTCCTGCCTTAATGTGTCACTCTGAATTATTTCACAAGCAGTCTTTCTTTGCACATTGATTTCTTTCTGCCAAAAATATGCGTTCCCAGATTTTTATGGAATATTGTGACATGTGAATGCCCCCAGGTCTGTGTAGGCTGGCTACTCTAGGGACATGTAATAGATGAAGGAAAATCTTGCAAATGTTTATACAGTTTTGAGGAATGAGGTGATAGGATTTGTACATTTTTGTTCCTTTCATATCAGATCTTTCACATTTTTCTTTGATGATGTCAAGAGAAAAGTTTTCCTTTCTCAAGAGCAAACACTCATTTTGTGGGTTTTCACAAAATTGTTTTTTTTTGCAAACACTACTATTTTTCACTCTATACATCTCTAGAAAATACCATTAGTTCAAACATTAAAAATAGGTTAACACTTTTCAGAGTCTAATATTTTTATTAGTGAACTATGTGTCTGTCTTGGAAGCACTTTTAAAATTTGGTTAACTCCTCACAACCCTATGGAAATCTGGCAAAGCAACTCTTCAACTATGTATAATTAAATTCTCTTTCTAAAAATTCCTTCTTCATTTACTATCTTTCCTGTTGTCCTTATTTTTAAAATTTATTTATTTTTTATTTGGAAATAATTACAGACTCAAGAAGTTGCAAAAAAAAAAAATAATAGGTTCTTGTACCTTTCACCCAGGTTCTCCCACTGGTAACAGCTTGCATACCCATAATACATTATTAAGGGATCCCTGGGTGGCGCAGCGGTTTGGCGCCTGCCTTTGGCCCGGAGCGCCATCCTGGAGACCCGGGATCGAATCCCACGTCGGGCTCCCGGTGCATGGAGCCTGCTTCTCCCTCTGCCTGTGTCTCTGACTCTCTCTCTCTCTGTGTGACTATCATAAATAAATAAAAATTTAAAAAAATACATTATTAAAACTAGAAAATTAACATCCTGCTATCTTCTTTAAGTTTTTAGTTTCTTTTTATGTTTCATTATATCCAAAAATTACCATTTTCTAACAATTCATTTTTAATTGTGCTTGATTTGGCTCTTCTCCCTTTCCTAAATTAATAAATGACAAAATCAATAAGCTTGCCACAGTGCCCATCTGGAATTAAAAGTTTACTAAAAACTTCTATGTTTCAGCATATTTAAAAGGAAGTCATTTGTAACATTTTTGGTTTTTTCTGCTTACACTATTCCATGTCATTCAGCCCTAATAAACCTGTAAATGAAAACAACTTATGTATGTGTGTGTTTTAATATATCTCTGACCCCTGAAATATTTTCAAAGAGATTGCTATTAAAATTAAGAGAAAAATAGGGACACCTGGGTGGCTCAGTCAGTTGGGAGTCTGACTCTTGATTTCAGGTCTGGTTATGATTACAGGGTGATGGCATAGAGCCTCACATCAGGCTCAGCACAAAGTCTGGTTGGAAGTCTCTAAATAAATAAATAAAATAAACAGAGAGAGAAAGAAAAGAAAAATAGTGCAAAGCTTTTCATTTGGGAAAAAAAGGTTTCTAAACATCTAACTATTCTAATGAGGATGCCATGATCTATTGGTTCAGAAGCCAGATCTCACTTATGGTTAATTCTGGCTCTACATGGATTTTCCTAGCCAGACAGCTCACTCTTTACTCCACTAGAGAGGAAACAAAGGAAAGAAAAGGAGTGAAAGTTACTTTCTTCAGTCTTAATGGTTAGGAAAAGTTGAGAGAATTTGGAATTTTGTGTAGATATCAATTTATGTATGAATGCCTTAATCACATCAAATGATGACTCTTCTGCATTTTATATTTATTGTAAATGAGTAAACAACTTTCATACTATGGTTCATTTAGCAAATGTACATCTACCGTGTACCAGGTATCCAGTTAGACGCTAATAACAGGGACACAACAAGATTGATTTTTTTTTTTAAAGGAGTATTAAGCTCTTACTACTATGTGCCAGATAGAGATGCTAGGGATCCAATGGGAAGTAAAAAGAAAGCTGTATTTTCTTATGAAACTTACTGTCTGGTAAGAGAGACAAATCATCACACAAAAGTAACTATAATCTGAGTAGGTATTTCTAAGGATAAGGAGGTGGTACATGAGGGCATTGAAATGGAACTCCACCTAATCTGGGATATCGGAAGTGGCTACTAGCAGGAGATGGTTTGAGCCAAGATTTAAAACTGCCTGTGAGGGGCAGCCCAGGTGGCTCAGCAGTTTAGCGCCACCTTCAGTCCAGGGCCTGATCCTGGAGACCCAGGATCGAGTCCCAGGTCAGGCTCCCTGCATGGAGCCTGCCTGTGTCTCTGCCTCCCTCTCTCTCTCTCTCATGAATAAACAAAAATCTTAAAAAAAAAGAAAAGAAAAAAAAAAACTGCCTCAAGGTGGGGGCACCTGGGTGGCCTGGTTAGTTGAACATCTGACTTGATTTCAACTCCTGTCATGATCTCTGGAGGTCTTAGGATCAAGCCCAACATCAGGCTCTATGCTCAGTGTGGAATCAGCTTGGGATTCTCTCCCTCTCACCGCCCCCACTCACATTGCACTCTCTATCTCTCTAAAATAAATAAGATCTTTAAAAAAGAAAAACTGGCTAAAGTTAATACAGAAGTGAGGAAGAGCATAAAGACTTCATAATGGAACCAGCAGAGTCCCAGGGCCTGAAAAGAAATAAGGGAGATAATGTGAAGTGAGTCTAGAGAATTAAGCAAGGACCCAACATGCAGGGTCTTATAGGTCTAGTAAGAATTCTCATCTTTGTTTTGAAAGTGATACAAACCAATTTAAGAGTTTTTGTGGGGAGAAAAAATAGTTTTTGTGGAAGTGACATCAGATTTGTGTTTCCAAAAGATCACTTTCACTTTAATGTAAAGAATTCATTCTTTAAATTATCTTCTGAGTGCCCACTATAAGCCAAGTTCCATCTGCATACTGAGTACAAGCACTGAACAAAACAGAAAGACCCCCCCCCCCCATCTTTCAGGATCTTCTGGAAAATACACAACAGTACATAAGATGATGAGAAGCTCTATAAAGAATGTTGGAATTCGAGAGTAAAAGGATAAGGCAGTAATGCTATTTTATTAGCCTAAACCATATGAAATTCCTGATCTTTTCTACATTCCTTTTAAACTCAGAACAATATTAGGTTCATATGGTTCAACATGGTTGAATAACATTAAATTCTTCAACCGAATACTTATTTGGAAGAGTCAGAGAAGACCTCTGAAGTGATCCAAAGAAAGAGGCAAGCCATTCAAATACCTAGAAGAGCTTGCCAAGCAAAGGGACAGGGAGTGCAAAGACCATAAAGCAAGAATGTACTAGCCATGTGTGAGTAGCAATGAGGAGACCAGTGTGACTGAAGAGAAATAGACGACAGGGAAGAATGGTAATAGGCACCAGATCATACTAAGTCTTGAAGACTATGGTAAGAAATTGCCTTTTCTTTTTTGAATGACATAAGCTATCAGTTTTGGACAGAGGAGTTACACAATCTGTCATCTTAAGGAGGACTGTTCTAGGGGCAGCCTGGGTGGCTCAGTGGTTTAAGCACCTGTCTTTGGCCCAGGGTGTGATCCTGAAGACCCAGGATCGAGTCCCACATCAGGCTCCCTGCATGGAGCCTGCTTCTCCTTCTGTCTGTGTCTCTGTCTCTCTCTCTGTGTGTCTATCATGAGTAAATAAAATCTTTAAAAAAAAAAAAAAGGACTGTTCTATTAATAGTAGGATCTACATAGTGTGTGTACAGATGGAAAAATGTAAAATCTTTTCACCTTTGCTGTATGTTTGAAAATTTACCTAATAAGATTAGACTGTTTAACCTGCTGTATTGTGAATAGACTTTAGAGAGGCAATGATAAGATCAAGAATACTGGTTAGGCTATTGCAATAATTCAGGCAGCAGTGGAGATATTAAGAAGTGGTTAGATTCTAAATACATTATAAAAAAAAAAAGATTCTAAATACATTTTGAAGATAGGGACAGTAAGATTTGCTGATGGAATAGATTCAAGATGCAAGAAAAAGAGAAAAGTAGGGGGCCTTTGGTGACTCAGTCTATTAAGTGTCCAACTTCAGCTCAGGTCATGATCTCAGGGTACTGGGATCAAGCCCCACATTGCCTGGCTCCTTGCTCAGCAAGGAGTCCACTGCTCCTTCTCCCTCTGCCCCTCCCCTGGTTCATTATCGCTCTTCTTCTCTCTTTCTCAAATAAATAAAAAAATTTTAATAGAAAAGTAAAAGACAACCCATAAGGTTTTAGACCTGAACAACTGGAAAATGGGGTTGGTATCTACAGAAATTTGGAAAACAGTTTAGGTCAAGCAAGATTGAAGGAAAAGACTATTTTTGAACAAGGTAAGTTTGAGATGCCTATTGGACATCTAAGTAGAGATATCAAATAAGCAATTATTTTTTTAAAGATTTTGCTTATTTATTCATGAGAGACACACAGAGAGAGGCAGAGACACAGGAAGAAGGAGAAGCAGGCTCCCCGCAAGGAACCCCATGTGGGACTCTATCCCCGACCCGGGATCCTGCCCTGAGCCAAAGGCAGACGCTCAACCGCTGAGCCACCGAGGCGTCCCCAAATAAGCAATTATTTAGAAGAAACATCCAGATAGGAAATACAAATGTATGATTCTACATAAAGATTAGAGATAGGAGAATTAATGCCTTGAGAATTAAATGGAAATATCCAGAGTTTAGCCTAAACTTTTTACCCATCCTTTTGTTGTAGGCTGGTTTTGTTTCTAGATAGTTATCCTATATTGCCATGCAAAATATTGATATGTATACCGTTTGCAATTCATTTGTGTTCTAAAAGGTTTCTTTTTTAATGTTCATGCCTTTCCAAGAAGATTACACATCTCTTGAGAAAATATCTATTTTCCTTTATATACTCCAAAATGCCATATCCCTAGAACATTTTATGATGCTTATATAATAAGCTATTCCAATATAGAGTTTTTGCTTTTGTTGTCATAAAACATCAATTTTTTAAATTAACAATTTAGACACTTCTAACTGTCCTGTGAAAATAAGGGTAGAGTTAGAACTTTCAATCTATTGCCACTCATGCCCATTTCAGATCAGATCAAAGACAGCCTTCTGAAAAACAGAAAGCAACAATAAAAAATCTCAGCTCTCCTCCATATACCTTTATACTCAGGCTTCCTGTGGGAGCAAGACAGCTCTCAATCATTTCAAGTCTTCATCCATCCTGGTCCAAGTCCACCAAGAAAAGAGATCCTTTGCAAAAGTCTCTGAATTCACTAATTAAACCACCACAGAGGGGATCCCTGGGTGGCGCAGCGGTTTGGCGCTTGCCTTTGGCCCAGGGCGCAATCCTGGAGACCCGGGATCGAATCCCAGGTCGGGCTCCCGGTGCATGGAGCCTGCTTCTCCCTCTGCCTGTGTCTCTGCCTCTCTCTCTCTCTGTGTGTGACTATCATAAATAAATAAAAAAAAAATTAAAAAAATAAACCACCACAGATTATCTGCCCATCCCTTAACAAATTACCGTAGCCTGGAAAACTCTATCCTGAGATTAGCCAAATGTGAGTCACATGTTTCACCTCTGTTTCATCCAAAGAACATGTACTATAGGAGAAGAGTGGCTCTCCAGGAGAAAAAATGGGGTGCTGTCACCAAAATAAGGAAATGGATACTGATGGTAGAAAATAATACATACTATACCAAATAACAAAGGCCTAAAGCATTCTTGCTTAAGCTTTTAAAAGAAGTGATACCATGGAGGTGCCTAGTTGGCTCAGCGGGAAGAGCACATGACTTGGTCTCAGTGTCCTGAGTTCAAGGCCCACTTTTGGTATAGAGATTACTAAAAAAAAAAAAAAAAAAAAAAAAAAAAAAAGTAAACAAAGAATACCATGGCACTTGTTTTTACATCTCTCCCAATTCCATACACAATACTGCATTTCCCCTGTATCATTAGGCTGTCATATATTCACTTGTCATTGATGAATAAATGTCACAGAAATTAAATAATTGCCTGAATATAAAAGTTAACCAGCTGGAAGGGTCAGTTTTTCAGCACATCACTTTCCAGGATACTCCCACCTGAGTACTGCAGGTAGTTTCTTGTCCTACAATTCTTTCCTATTGTCAGTCTGACTGAAAAATATTTATTAGACCTCAGTACCCTGGGGGCAGGGTGGCTGCTAGCTAAGATGCCTGAGAAACCACTGCAGAATCAAGTGACAATGAATCAGCTTAAGTTTATCTTCTTGAAGGACGGTTACATGGTGTAGAATCTTAAAAGCAAAATATATCAACAGATTTGTTTTCAGCTTCTTTTTGGTTTCGCCATTTCCATTCTTTTCTATACTAATAGGTTACTTTCCTCCACAAGAAGTTTAACCTAACCTCTATGGCATTTTTACCCTTTTAGTTCAGATTTTGCAGCAGAAAATGGATAACATGGGTATAAAGAGAATGTTGGCTCTCTATTATTCTGGAATTTGGGATGGCCTCTCTAGTTTGCTGCTTCCCTGGACACCAAACATAACATTCTCTGTTCTAGGACCTGCTTCAAGTTGGTCATAAGACTGGCAGAAAATCAAACCAAACTAAATGAATAGTTGTTGAGGTTAATCTCACATCCTGGAGCTGTATGTGCCATGAAATAGCCTGCTGTTATTAACAAGCACAATTCTGATTAGAATCACTGCTCTGTGGTCCTATTTATCAGAATCTCGTGTTTGGAAATTGGATTGGGGTCTGGTTACTTTAAAAATAGATATGATAGAAAAAAAATAGATATGATAGTGGAATATAGCCATTAAAATTTCCATTGTAGGAGAAAGTAACATAGGATAGTATTAACCATGTATTTAAATGTAGAGCCTGGGTGGCTCAGATGCTAAGCATCTGCCTTTGGCTCAGATCATGATCTTCCGGGTCCTCAGAATCAGGCCTCTGGGCTTCTGGGTCAGCGGGGAGTCTGCTTCTCTCTCTGCCTCCTCCCTGCTCATTCTCTCTCTCTCTCTCTCTCTCTTGTTCTCTCTAAATCTCCTGTCTCAAAAGAATAAATAAAATCCTTACAAAAATAAATAAATGTAGGAGTACAAAGCAATATGTTCAAGATGATTCCTATATTGTTTAATATTATACAAAGACACCCAAATGTTAACCTTAAGGAACGAACTACCAGTGATTTTATTTTGTTTGCTGTTCAAGATATTCCCAGATGAAATGTACTACATCTATACTCAAAGTAATTTTTAAAGAAATATATTTATCATACCCGTACCCCAGAGTCAAAATATGCCAAAGGTACGACTAAAAACTAGATCTAATTATGATGCTCAGTACTCAAAATCATTGTATATTTTTCTCTTGCCTTGTATACATCTTTTTTTTCTTCCATCCTAGGAAATCATCTACTGGATGCTAGGAGTAAACGAACTTCTGCCTTCTCAGAACTAATTGTCTGGTGGAGATGTAACAAGTCAACAGACGATCCAGCCTGTCACAGTTGATAACAGAGTTTCATGCATACTCTTAAAACATCTAACCCTCCTTCTACACATCAAATTCTGGCTTTGGTATGTCATCTGACAAGAGGTTGAACTCACACACTGGCACTCGCTTCCATTTGAGTTGCATCCCATTGTCCACACACTCATGTTCAATTACCAGAGTACTGGCCAATTATTTGGATATTAATTTGCTCTTATTTTGTAAAAATGCAATTGCAAATACTAGCTATAGGAAATGCAGGTCTTATAAATGCAATTTGAATGATATAAAGATGGAAATCATTAGGTGTGCCAGTAACTGAATCTCTAGCCTCAATCAGATACTCAGACATTCATGAAATGAAGTTCAGTAAACTGGCTGAAAGTAAAGAAGAAAATCTGAGAACAAGTATAGGATCCTGGAAATAGTCATTGTTAAATGTGGGATCCCTGAGTGGCGCAGCAGTTTAGTGCCTGCCTTTGGCCCAGGGCGCGATCTTGGAGACCCGGGATCGAATCCCACGTCTGGCTCCCGGTGCATGGAGCCTGCTTCTCTCTCTGCCTGTGTCTCTGCCTCTCTGCCTCTCTCTCTGTGTGACTATCATAAATTAAAAAAAAAAAAATGTGGTGGCTAAAAGTTTAGGTATGTTTAGAAGATTTGATCTTCATTTTCAGAATTCCTCCTAAAACAATAAGTTTATTGTTTGATTTGTAGATACATGGCCAAGTATGCTTTATGTTTGAAAGTTGGGACCTGCCTTTGGTGGCTTACCATTGCCTACAGGATATATTTTAAATCATTAATCACATCAATGATGTTAAAATGTACAAGTTTATAATGACATTAAGAAAAGAAAATGTAGGGACATCCGGGTGGCTCAGTGGTTGAATGTCATGATCCCAGAATCCTGGGATCAATTCCCACATCAGGCTCCTCCCCACAGGGAGCGTGCTTTTCCCTCTGCCTGTGTCTCTGATGAGTAAATAAAATCTTAAAAAAAAGGAAAAAGGAAATAAAATGTACAAGTCACCTAGAAGTTGCTATAATAAGTTACTAAGTTATACAGTAATGGAAGTCGGTAAATAAAGAAAAAAATCAAGCACTATGCTTCTCCTGTACAAATTGCATTTTAGGGTGACCAAAGTTGTTATGAAAAAGTTTCTTTGTATAAAATATTTCCAACTGAGGGACACCTGAGTGGCTAAATCAGTTAAGTACCTGACTCGATCTCAGCTCATGTCATGATCTTAGGGTCATAGGATCAAACATGGTGTCAGGCTCCACACTCAGCATGGAGTCTGCTTAAGATTCTCTCTCTCACTCTCCCTCTGCCCTCCTCCACACACATGCTCTCTTTCTCAAAATAAATAGTAAATCTTTAAAAAAAAAATTTCCAGCTGATAAATGTAAAAGAAATGACAAGAGATCATTGTGTAATCTCCTAATAAAATAGACTTAAATACCAATCATCAATGGCTGCTAAAACAGTAAATGAAAGATTGATGGAGCCACTGACAATTTTAACATCACTAAGATGTTTACTATTCCCCAAAATATTTTGAATTTAAATCCAATCAAGCATCTAAATGTACTAGTTTATGAGGACAAGGGAGAATGAGCAATATAGGAAAGTGTCAAAACAATACCAGAGAAGATGCAATCAAACCCAGAATATGGAAAGTTCTATAGGACAAATTACAGGATTTCTTCAACAAATAAATTATCTTAATAAATTAAAAAAGATTTAAGAGACCTAATACCCAAATACAGCATGTGGATCCTGGTTTTGTTTTGTTTTGTTTTAAGATTTTATTTATTTATTCATGAGAGAAGAGAGAGGCAGAGACACAGTCAGGGGGAGAAGCAGGCTCCCTTCAGGGATCCCGGAACTCCAGGATCATGCCCTGAGCCAAAGGCAGATACCCAACCCCTGAGCCACCCAGGTATCCCTGGATCCCATTTTGACAAGCAAGTTAAAAATATATATTTTTTTAAGATTTTATTTCTTTATTCATAAGAGACACACACAGAGAGGCAGAGATATAGACAGAGGGAGAAGGCTCCTTGTGGGGACCCTGATGTGGGACTCAATCCCAGGACACTGGGATCACACCCTGAATCAAAAGCAGACAGTCAACCACTGAGCCACCCAGGTGCCCCTAAACAGATATTTTTGAGACAATTGGGAAATGTAAAGACTAGATATTATATGATATTAAGGAATTACTGATTAAGGGTTTGTAATTTTGTCCTTGTAACAATTATACTGTGGTTGTGTTTTTGAAAACCGTCTACTAGAGTCATCTACTGCATAAGTATGGAATTCTATGATTTCCAGGATTTCGTTCAAAATATTCCATAGGGAAGGGGGGAAGTGGCTAAAGAGATGAAAACAAGATTAAGCAAGGATTGATAAGTATTAAACCAGAGTGATGGGTATGTGAGAGACAAATGGAGTTTAATACCACATTCTCTATTTTTTGTGTGTGTTTTAAATTTTCCATAACTGGAAGTTAAATTTCAATCAATCAATCAATCCATACCCTACATATGTAACATACAAACATACATAAAGGCTTTAGGGCAGTTTATTTCCATGCCTGACTTTTGCCCTGGGAAAGTGACTGAGTGAATGAATCCAAAGAACTGTAGTATTAGGATCCCTGAGCCAGTTCGTGTGGGTGCACTATCTAAAAGTATAATCCTGAGGAAAGGAGCGTCTCTCTTTTTTTGTGGGACCGCGGAGGGGAAGTGTCCCAGTAACAGCCACAGTGAGGACAGGAAGCAAAATCCAATTCCCTTCCTTCTGATGGCCTGTGTATTCATAGGCAGTCAAAGTAGTGGTAGCTGAAGGTCTTCGTTGCCCTTAGCTGGGGTCTGAGTTTGGGGTGTAAGTATCTCAGACTGATGCTTCATTAAGTATAAAGACACTATGCTCAAATCCTGTGGGCAACCAGTGGAAGTTGACAAGAGCATTGCTTTCCAAGGGCATAGCTGGGGAATCAGCCATGGCACGAGATTCCCAGCTGCTACAGCAGCTAGAATAACACCTTCCAGAGCAGTCAGCCACCATTGTGATTGCTGTGATTCCTAGATTTACAGGAGAAAGAGGTGGAGCAAGGAGGAGAGAGGAGGAGGTCTGGATTTCCCACTGATCTAGACATGTGAGGCTTGCATTGACAAACCAAAGGCATCCCTATGTTGAATCACTGCGTGTTCGTCAGCTGGTGAAGCAGGATTTACTCATTACCCAGCTCCTGAATTGCATGATTGTATCATTATATTTGATGGAAATTAGTCTGACTATGACTCAGAGGTATGACTAGAAAATTCCTCCTACTCCCTTGTCCCTTGTGTAATCTTGGACAGGTTGCTCTTCTTGAAATTAGGATAATAATACCTTGCCTCTCTACCTCCAGGGTTGTTTTGAGGATTGAAAAGATAATATGTGGAACTATAATTTTTATGAACTATCAAATGGTGTACAAATAGAAGGCATCATTATTACTGTAAGTGACTAGCTGATCCATATCTTAAAGCCCCTTATTTTCTTTGATTCTGTGTTAACAATGAATGTTTAATTAGTACATTATAAAATTAGATAGTCAAGAAACAACTCCAGAGAAGTTTAGCATATAGTATGATCTTTCTGCTTTCTCTAATGTTACATAGGAATTCCTGGAAATAGGAAGATCTTATCTAGTTATATCCTTTATGGATATGTATCTCCTATCTAGTTATGTCCTTGAATACATGCTCATCAATTTAGGAGACAGACAAGTTGCTCTATATTCCATAAATAATGCGTATTACTTTATAATCTCAATTTCATAAGTCAATATTTCTCCTGTCCAATAATGTATCACAATTGGGAGACTAGAGCAGAAGTTGACCAACTATATATAGCCCATGCAACAGATCTGGCTACCACTATTTTTATATGACCTGCACACTAAGAATTGTTTTGATATTTTGAATTTTTTTAATAAAAAGAAGAATATTTTATGACACATCAAATTCAAATTTCAGTGTCCATTCAGTGTCCAGAGGCACACTCATTCATTTATGTACCATCCATGGTTGCAACAGCAGTTGAGTAGTTGTAAGACAGACCATATGGTTCACAAAGCCTAAAATATTTACTATCTGGCCCTTTACATAAATATCATCTTATCCCTGGAATAGAGGATTCAAAACAACAAAAATTAAAAATAAAATTTCTAACTTGCTAGCTTTCCCTGGGATAAATAAACCTAGAATACATGGATTTAAATTATGTATATGCAATAAGAGAAATTCAAATTTATGGTTTTAATATGCAATGACTGTTTAGAGTCAATTAGGAAGAAGTTAAAAAATATAATAAATACAATATAAATAGAACACAATTAAATCCTTAAAAGTATGTTCCCATTTTGCTCAGTGTTGGTGGCAGAGTAAAGAGAATAGGGGGAATATCCATTCTGATTAATATATAGTAGAAACTGACTGTGGCTAAGAGAAATAAGTAGTTCATTGGAAAGAAGATTCATGAACAGTTTCAGAATTGGGGAGAGAGCTAGAGATCATAACATTTGAAAGGACAGGAATCTGGAGAGCTCTAGGTCCTCAACAGCAAGAGACCCCATGTTTGCTCTCAGGGCATTTCCACAAGACTTCAGAAGCTTTCCATTTGAATTTTGGGGAGAACTGATGGGCCTAGTATAAGGCCCTGGAGCTAAAGGGATAGAGTAACACGATCGGGAGTCTTTCTGGAATCACATGGTTGGAGTGGAGAAATAAAGAGGCAGTAAGATAGGGGCAAGAATTCCAGGCAGACAAAAGCCAACAGATGTGCTCACAGGAAGCTTGCCAGGAAATGTGGGCTTTAACCACAAATTCAGCACCATATGGGTTAATGAGAGAATAAGACATCTTATTGGGCTTTAGTTAGTTAGTTTAGTTTAGTTAGGGGTATTTCCATTATATGTTAGTACTAAAGGAGGGGTACAATTAGAGCCACCTGCCATAAAACAACTCCTTGGCCACCATACACACAATATTTTCTTATTTTTTTTGAAAAAAATTTTTAAAGATTTTATTTATT